AACACGTCCATAACTAAAACAAAAGGAAATTAACACAAGTTAAGTAAAAAATAATAATTTGAAGACATGAAACACAAGTAATATGATCTATATAAGTGCACAAAATACACTTATCAGATGGCACAAGAAAGTATTGACGACTAGAGATCCAATTATTGTTTCTATGGGATGGAGACGCTATCAAATCAAACCATTCCCATATATGCCATTGAGGACCGCAACGGTCGATATCGCATGCTCAAATACACTCCTGAACACATGCATTGTGTTGCCATGTTCTGGGGTCCACTTGCACCTCCCCATACTGGAGTAGTTGCTGTTCAGAAATTATCTAATAACTAGGTATAATGTCTGTTTTAGTAGCATCTGGTTATGTTACACAAAGTAGTTATGATTTGGATGCAAATTTGTTTCAAAACGAGGGCAAGATCAGGAGCTTGTTTGATTGTGCTTAAAGCAAGGTTTGGCACACTTAAGTTTCTTATTTTGCTGAATATTTACTTTTAAAGTTCCTCTACTCAAATGAATAAAATAATTCAAAAAATATAAAGATACAAATTATGCTCAAAATGGATCATATATTTTAACATGTCTGCCAGAGATTTTCATCTCAATTTCCATTGATTTTTCATCCGTTATTTGGCAGAGCAGCCTACCATTTTTGACTTTTCCTCTCTAAAGTGGCCCCCACTTATTGACTTTAACGGTCACATTGTTGATCAAAATAGGATGAAAACCTGTGACAGACAGGCTACTATCTAAAACAACAATACGTAAACATTTTAACATTAGATGCCTAATGTATGAACTAGAAACATTAAATGGATCAACAAAATATCAAATAATAAATTAATATGGTAGTGATCACATAACAAGACCGCTAATCCTCAATTGTAACTGAAAGTCTAAAACAACTGCCACTCAAAGTGTAGTACGACATAAGTCTTGACAAATGCCACTCAAAGTGTAGTGATCACATAACAAAACCACTAATCCACATAACAGTAGTGAGGCACAAGTCTTGACAAATGCCATTCCATGTGTAAACTTTGAGGCTACTGATGAATGCCTCCCAGGAGGCGCAACTCAAGGCGTGCTTCTCGGGTGCCTTTGAAACACTGGTGCTACAAATCTTGGTACTGCATGTTTACTGTTTCAGTTTGTTATATTGCATGGACATTCAACTGTCGATTTGATTCCATAGGGGATCATGGATTTCGGTGTTATGTTTAACAAAGCACGAAAAAGAACTTGCTTGTTCAAATCAGAGATTCTATACCTGTTGATGATTATTCGTTGCAGACTCAGTAATTCACTGTTTATTGTCCTCAAAGAAAAAAAACTTAGATTATTGTTTTCTTTTCCCCCTGACTTGGTTTCTGTATGCTGCAGGCAACATTTAGGATCATAGCAACTGCAACAGTGCTGGAATTCAACCATGCTGCAAAGATAATGAAGAAGATCAAGCTTGTTGGTTATCCCACTAAGGTCTTCAAGAAGACTGCTTTTATAGAGGGCATGTTTACTTCAGATCTTGAAGTAGCCAGGTTTGAAGGTGCTGCTGTGCAAACTGTTAGTAAAATCCGAGGGCAAGTGAAAAAGGTATTTATCTCACTCACTGTCTTAGACTGGAATCACACAACTTGGATCTGGTGTTACTTCAATCCCTTCCCATCACCCTAGAAACACTGCATCTTGTCAATCGTGACTAACCACATTCCATGATAATCTAGAAATTTAATTTTCATCAGGAAGAAGCAATAATTATAGGTGGATAGTTATAAGAAACTTTTTCTTTCTGTGTTCTGTTTCAGTGGGGTATCTACTGAAAAGGGTGCTGGAAAAAGTTTCCGTATAATTGAAATGTGTAAAGCATTTTTGACAGGATTTTGTTAGGTAATTGCCTTAAAAGTCAAAGTTGGAGAACTTCTACTGTAAATAATAATAGGTTATTATGGTTCCTATAAATAGTGGTTTATTCCATATTTTAGAGTTGTGTGGCCTGTGAAGAAAAGAAAAAAACGTAGCGGCTGCCTGCCTTGGTGCTGGGAGAGTTGTTGGAGTATTATATATATATATATTATTCAATTCTTTACAGTGGCTGTAGTGGTTGATATATATATATAATAGATTCACGCATAGAAGCAAAAAAAGTCAAGAATAGTGGCTGGCCAAGAAGAGGATTGATGCTTTGCTAGAATTAATATATATATACATGTACAGACATAGGCAAGGAGATTTGGCTACTGTTTTTTCTTCGGTTTACTTTGGAATTGATTTAGTGAGTGAAAAATTCTATATGATTGTAACAATTTTTCATATAGTGAAAAAGATTTGACAGTTCATTTAATTTGTGTGTTATATTATTTATTTTTCTTATTTGCTAATA